AATTAGACTAAAAATGTCATTTAAAAAAATCTGTAAATTTGAAATCGACAATACGAAAGTACTTGTATCAGTACTTGCACAGATCTGTTAAAGAATTTCACTCAACTGAAAACAAGTGAAAATGCGTCCTACAGTGTTGTTTTCTTTGCTAAAGCATTTTTATCGAGAATTAATCGCGAAAATAAAAATTCTAAAATTTAACTCAAATTTATTCAAACGTTGAGCATTTGATTAATGGGATTTTAATCTAGCAATAAAAACTGAAAGGAATAAAATACTTACAAAAATTGTAACGACACACTCCCCATGAAAGTTTTATTTCCTATAGTATGTATTCCATTTCCATTAAGATACCTGCAACAAATGAAGAATCCACCATAAATTCCTATTTACACACATTTGGATACACTTAAATTTGTATTCACATTTGTATACATTTTTTAAAATTTCATCACTGGTACGTTAAGCAGTTCATACATAGAACAGATATTTGGATCTTTAATAAACTAAAAAAGCTCAATACCCACACAAATTTGAACGCAGTACTTCACTATTAGAACTTTATCGAAAAACAAATGCTAAAATAACAATTTATTTAATTGTTATTCAACCATATTCAACCCAAAACAAGTCAACCAGTTCGCATTAAACAAGCATTAATTCCAATAATCTTCAATGGTAAACTCATTACGTTTTAGAATATACTAACAAATGTAAGAGAATTCTATAAACATGTCCTACACGTAGCTGTGTTTGCTAAGGAGAATCCTTGTTTTTTAGGTTAGGTCCAAAGTTACTAGGCCTTGGATGTGAACATGCTCAGCAGTATATCCAGTATGGCTCAACTGTTCTACCCCAGTAAGAAAATAAAAAAAATTATTTAATTTTGTTTAAATTAATAAATATGATATTCATATCTTCAAAAGAATGCTTAAAGTATATTTTTTATGGAAAAAAGAAATAAAATAAAAAAATAATATTCATGAGTTTCTTAGCATTATTTTAGTTCATTATATAATCAAAGAATTCAAAACAGGCAAAAATTGATAAAACTTTAACCAGATTAACTGAATAATGCTATAATTCAAACATTTGGTGAAACTTATTAAGCTAAAGGCCTATATCTATAAATAATTTATTTATTGACTAATTTTATTAAAATAATTTATTTATTAATTTATTTTTGAGGAAGAGAAAGATATACTAGTTTACATTATTTTCTAGATTAAAAAAATTAACGAAATAGCAATAACATTCAAAAATATGTAATTTAAAAAGCAAATAAAGAATATTTCAAAGATAACATTTAGTATACTTACAAATATTTGAGACCAGTAAACTTATAAAACGTCATTTCTCCCATTGAAATAATACCCGCGTTGTTGCAGATCCTGAAAAGTGAAGCAAAACAATGACGGTGTATAACAGATTTGAAATTTGGATATTTATTTCTGCTGCAAAATATTAATTTTTAAAATACTCGATTAGGGAAATAGTCTTTCAGGTACATCCCAAGACATAATTTAAAATTAAATAAAAATTAAAGTATTGAAAGAAATGAAATTAAAACAAACTATATTACAGTTAAATATTTTCCTCAACATTTGAATTTGCAACATATTTGAGATATCTTAATCAAAATCAAATCGTGGAACGCTGGTTAAATTTCTTGAAATGTTAAGTAACGTGGTAACCATTTTTAATACATGCAAACATGTCAACGTGTATGACGCATGTTGCATGTATAAACGTGTTTAGAAAGTAGCACGCTTAAAAAGTTATCATATTAACATTTCAGACAAGTTTAAATTGCATACTATGTATTTTTTAAACTATTATTTTAAATTATTATTGTAGGAGTAAAAATTAGGTTTTAGGTTTAGCCGATTATATTCATTAACAACAAGTTTTTTCTTTCTTTTCTTTTTTTTTAAATTAGAAAAAAAAGCAAGCATAAGTTTTAAACAGCATCTATTTTGAGTATATTGCTTTGTAAAGAACTAAAAATATGTTGATATATAACTTAGATATAGAAAAAAATATTTTACAAAACAAAATTGTTAGGCTTTATATTTGATCAGAGATGGACATTTGTCATTCAGAATAATGAATAAAGAATGATGAATAATTATTCAAAATCTGAATAATGAATGATGACTAAAGATTTATTCATTAGTCAGAAATATTTTGAATAAAGAATAAATCATTCATTATCCGTTATTCAGTATCCTTTATTCATTAGTCAAGAATAGCTGAATAATTTCACTGATGCGCACGGAATACTCTAATTGACTACGATTATGACAACTACAAATAAAACGTTAATCCTTTTCAAGTATATTTATATAATGTTTGAGAAAATTTACTTTTGTCTAACATAATGCATACTTTTGAGAAATGGTTACATGGCTAAAAAGGGTTTAATTTTTTTAATTAAAATTTCATTTAAAAATTTAAAATAATATTATATTTTGCTTTCAAAAACTACAAAAAATTGCGTTTTATAGATTTTAGAAAAAAATTTCAAAATGAACTTAAGTAACTAAACTGTTATAAACCTACTTTTTAGCACAACTAAGTATGTTACGCTGGAGTAAGTTAAAATAACATAAAAATAAATAGTCATGCTTGTCTTAGTTTTATAGTTTAATTCCTAAAATAAGACGTTTAAGAGCAAATGATGTTTGGCATCTCGTTCTAGACAAAGACATATCGATTGCATTTTTTGCTGGTTATTCAAATTTTATTCAGAAAAATTAGCCATGACTAATGAGTTTATTCATCAATCATTATTCAAAGATTTTTATACATTTGCATAATGAATGATGAATAATGACTAAATTTTCATATGAATAATCATTCAGAATAAATTTATTCTGAATAAATTTAGTCATGAATAAAATTTTCGTGAATGATGCCCATCACTGTATTTGATTCACCAATTTGGTCAAGGAAATTTTGAAAATTTTCAAGTTTGGGTCATCGACGCATTAAATGAAATTTTAAGCTAATTATAAGTCAGTGAGCTCACATAATCGAAATTTCCTGGGCTATTGTATTAAACTTTTAGCACTGTCTATTTTCATGAAAGTTAACGCATGCAAATTAATGAAAGAAGCCCTCACCACCAATTAAGAAAAGCACAACCAATTAAGAACAATTCAATTGAGATTATTATTGTTGTTGTTTTCAATTTAAGTGAAAATAGCTAGTGCCTATAAATAATATCCTTTTTTAAATCAATGAAAATCGGTTTAATTGAGATAGTATTAATGTGGGGTTGTTTGTCATATGCTGATGCTTTTTTTTAAATAAAGTGCCATTTTCCTGTAGCTACATTTGCTCGGTATTCCCTACACTAATGTTTTGTTTAAAGATTAAGTGTTATTGCCTGATATTCACTGCACAGAATTTTTTTCAAAGGGTAAAGTCAAATTTGCGCTTCATTAAAAATTTGATTTATTGAAGACAGAAGAGGATTTTCTCTTAAATCTTGATAATGGTAACTTTAAAATAAGAAAATAAACAGCTAAAATAATGCAATACTTCGTCCTTCATGATTAAAATGTCTTTGACAAAATTCATTCAGATTGCTCAGCTAAAATATTCCTAAATTTATTATAAACAAATTTATTATAAATTAATATATTATAAATTTTAAAAGCAAATAAATCTTTTAAATTTTCCATCAATCTAGCTTCCACCTTTTTGATCTTCCCAAAATTAGTACCACCTCCAAAAAACAGAACTGCGCATGTGCAAATTATTTTTGTAAAAAAAATATTACATGGAAATATCATTCACGTAACTGCTGTGAAAATGGTCATCGCCTAAAGCTTTTAATTAAAGAATAATTGCCAAAACTTAAGAAACAAAAGTTTAAAAGAGTACTTTAAGTTTAATCGAGGAAGGTTGTAATTAGCATTAAAAATTATTTCGCTTTATATCAAACTTTAAACATCTAAACACAATATTATTATTTTTTTGTTAATTCATTTTTGTCTACTCCTTAGCAAAATTTCCTAACAGATGCTTTAAATTAAGTTTGCTAAAATATTTTTCAAAAACTGAAGGCGGATATTGAATAACAGATGAATAATATGGTTCCATTACTAAATCTAAAACACATGCCTGCAAAAGAGAAACATATTCGAAGATTTCGAAATGTAACTTCATATAAAGGCGTAAAAGATTTCCTCCAAAAAGTTGCGTTTATAAAATTGTCCACCATCAAATCCAGAAGAAAAACCTCAAATAAATCAAAGAAGTCATTGAAAGTCATGTCAAAACATAGATCTAAAAAAAGAAAACTTCAGCCTAATATCAAGCGGCAACCTCTATCTCAAGTACCTCTCAAAAATAGTTTCCTGAAGCAAGGGGTCCAGCGCTTAGTAACGACTTTTGGCGCTATTTTTGCAAAAGATAATGGCTTACTGCTCTTACGTAAAAACTTGGTAAAAGTATTGGCGTATATTGTGAATGAACTTAATAAAGTGAAAGTAGACATTATAACACCAACACAAATTCGACAGACTGTTTTAAAAAAATTCCCAACAGATTTGAAAGAGCTGGCAGTAGCCCGTATAGCTCAAATTATGATGTATAAAGGTCGAACCGCAAAATCAGTCCTTGTTAAATTAAAAGTTCCAACTCGAAAGATAGTTGCTAAAATTAAAAGGACAGCATTTTCACCAAGGAAAAAAGAACTTTACAAAAAAACAAGAGAGAAACAAGTGCAAACATTGAGGAAAAAAATTTCTGGGAAAAAATCATCAAAACGGCTTTTGAAAATAAAGTCTAAGGCATTACCAAAGAAACGAAAACGTGTATCAAAGACTAAAGATGAAGTGTCCAAAAAGAAAATAATTCCGATAAAGAAAACACAAAAGAGTAAACGTATTACACCCAAAATAAAGAAAACCAGATTATCTACAAAAAAATCTGAAAAGAAAGGCATCAAGAAAAAACGTGAAACAAAAACTTTTAAGCCACTTAAAATAATGAAAACTAAACGTAAAAGGAAAACATCTGTAGCACCACCGAAAAAACAAAAACCTTTCGGTAAAAGGAAAGTGAAAACTTCGAAAACACTACGAAAAAAACTGAAAATAATCAAACGCAAGAAGGAACTTCGTTCAAAAATACTCAAAAAGAAGAAGCCAGGGAAATCTAAAATTACGACCAAGAAAAAGTCTCTCAAAAGAAAACCCAAGAAGACATTACTAAAAAGAGTACCTACGGCAAAGCCGCTGAAAATTGAGCCCACGAAGAAACCACTGAAAAGGAAACCCAAAGCAAGGTCATTAAAAGTCAAACCCACGAAAACACAACTAAAAAGAAGACCCAAAACAACGCCGTTAAAAGTCAAACCCAAGAAGACACCGCTAAAAAGAAAACCTAAGAAAAAGCTGCTGAAAGTCAAACCCATGAAGACACTACTAAAAAGAAGACTCAAAACAAAGCCACAGAAAGTCAAACCCACAAAGACACCACTAAAAAGAAAACACAAGGAAAAGTCACGGAAAATCAAACCCAAGAAGACACTATTAAAAAGAAGACCCAAAGTAAAGCCTCTTAGAATCAAATCCAAGAGGACACCACTAAAAAGAAAACCCAAGCTAAAGACATTAAAAGTAAAACCCACGAAGACACCACTAAAACGAAGACTCGCGACAATGCCGCTTAAAGTCAAACCTAAGAAGACACCATTAAAAAGAAGACCCAAGGTAAAGTCTTTGAAAGTAGAACCCAAAAAGACACCACTAAAACGAAGACTAAAGGCAAAGCCACAGAAAGTCAAACCCAAGAAGACACCATTAAAAAGAAGACCCAAAGTAAAGCCTCTTAGAGTCAAATCCAAGAAGACTCCACTAAAAAGAAGACCCGAGGTAAAGCCTCTGAAAATCAAACCCAAGAAGACACTACTAAAAGGAAGACTCAAGGTAAAGCCTCGGAAAGTCAAACCCAAGAAGACGCTACTAAAAAGAAGACCCAAGGTAAAGCCTTTGAAAATCAAATCCAAGAAGACACCGCTAAAACGAAGACTCAAGGTAAAGCCTAAAGTCAAACCCAAGAAGACGCTACTAAAAAGAAGACGTAAGGAAAAGCAGCAGAAAGTCAAATCCAAGTCAAGACACACGGCGAAAAAACAAGTACATGAAGTAAAAGCTGAGAACATATTCAAACTAAAACAAGGTATTCGACGACTCAATGCATGTTTCGGTATCACATTCGCAAATGATAACTGCATATCTTTGTTGGGGGAAAACTTGGCATCTGTATTAAAATATTTAATTGACGAAGTAAACAATATGGAAATAAACAAAGTGAACCCAACCCAAATTCGCAAAGCAGTATTAAACATTTTTCCTGATACTTTGAAGAATTTGGCAGTTGCGCGTATAAGTCAAGTTATGATGCACAAGAGTGTTACTATAAAGGATAAAAAAGAGGCCACAGGAAGGAAAAGGAGAATCGTTTACAAGTCCAAAACGAAAACTTCGCCAAAGAAGAAAAAACCATTAAAAGAAATTAAATCAAAATCCGTGCCTAAAAAACGTAAACGTGAATTAAAAAGGGAAGACGAAACGCGTGAAAAGAAAATCGTTCGAAAAGAGAAAACAAAAAAGAGACTTATGCCGAAACGGACCGCAAAAATTAGAAAATTTGAGAAGAAGATCGAAAAAGAGTTAACAGAAAAGCGTAAAGCAAAATCATTTGTGAAACCGCAAGGAAAAAGGAAACTTACAACCAAGAAGAAACTTTCGAAGCCTTTGAAATTAACAGTTAAAAAGAAGTCATTGAAAGTAAAACCTAGACCAAGGAAAAGAACTTGGCGAAAACGAAGTGCAGCAAAATCTACAAGAAGGAAAAGACCTGAAGAGAAAGATTTGATTAAAAAACGCAAGGCGAAAACAAGTGTAAAACAACGAAAAAGATTGAAACCTACCCCCAAGAAAAAACCTCTGAAGTTAGCAGTTAAAAAGAAGTCCTTAAAAGTTAAACCCAAGCTGTTAAAGAAAAGTACTTTGTTGAAACGAAAAGCGGAAAAATCTGCAAGGAAAAAACCTAAATTGATAAAGAAACGCAAGGCGAAAACACGTGTGAAACCACGAAAAAAACTGAAACCAACCCCCATAAAAAAACCTCTGAAATTATCAGTGAAAAAGAAGTCCTTAAAAGTTAAACCCAAGTTGTTAAAGAAAAGTACTTTGTTGAAACGAAAAGCGGAAAAATCTGCAAGGAAAAAACCTAAATTGATAAAGAAACGCAAGGCGAAAACACGTGTGAAACCACGAAAAAAACTTAAACCTACCCCCATGAAAAAACCTCTGAAATTATCAGTGAAAAAGAAGTCATTAAAAGTTAAACCTAAGTTGTTAAAGAAAAGTAGTTCGTGGAAACGAAAAGTTGAAAAGAGGAAAAAATCTACACCAAGAAGGAAAAAACCTGAATTGATTAAAAAACGCAAGGCGAAAACACCAGTAAAACCACGAAAAAAACTGAAACCTACCCGCTTGAAAAAACCTCTTAAGGAAACAGTTAAAAAAATTAAACATAAGCCTAAATTTGAACCAACAAAACGTAAGCACGTGTCTTCAGGAAGTGAAGATGAACTGCCCGTAAAAAGAGTTGCTGGTAAAAAAGGGATAAAGTATGTCTTAAAAAAAGTACCAAAACCTAAAGCAGTCAAAAAGCAGGAAAAGCGCAAAGCAGTAATATCCGCGAAACCACGTAAAAAACGAAAATTTACACCCAAGAAAAAAACGATAAAAGAAAAACCTCGTAGGAAAGCTTTGCAAATCAAACCAAAAAAGCAAAAGCAAATCAAGTCTCAATTAAAACTTTTGCTAAAAGACCAAAAACCGAAATCTAAAACCACAAGCACGAATTTTTTCAAACTAGGTGTTATAAAACTTGGCGATTTTTTTGGTATTTCTTTCGCCAGCGACAATGGAGTATCTCTCTTTAGCAAAAACTTAGGGACTTTATTGAAAAAAATTATTAATGAAGTCAATACTTTAAAAGTAGAAACTATAAGGCCGGCTGAAATTCGCCAAGCTGTCAAAAATATATTTCCCGCTCCTTTAAAAGAATTAGCTATTGCTCGCTTAAGCCAAGTAATAATGATTAATAATTAGGTGTAATTATATAACTTTTAGACCATAAAATTGAAATTTAGCTCGAATAAAAAAGTTTTTATTTTATGTATTATCTTTTTTTTTAAATTGTAAAGTATAGTATTGATTTAATTATCAAAATATTACATACTAATCTTAATAATTTTGAACACTTCATTTGATTGAACACTTCATTTGAGAAGGCGATGTTTTAAGTTATGAAATCAGACACAAAAACTTACTTTTTCTAAATAAACGTAACTTATTACCCATTGCCAAAATGGGTCTTGATTAGAATTTCATGGCGTCCGCACTTTTTAACTACAATTATCAAGAGTAATAGTAAACAGTGCGCATGCGTTGCTATGGCAACCGCTGCTGTTTGATAATTTTTTTTTAGAATTCTTTTTTTCACTTTTAATTTTGTTACGCATTCAGTTGGTGAGTTTATTTTGAGACATGGGACCAGAGAGATCCCATAAATACTTCCTGAGTTATGAATAAAAGAGAAATTCATCATATGAACGATATTTTTGTTTTGTATTGTTTTAATTTAGAATCAGAAATTCTAACCTACAGTTCAAACTGGATAGTTTTTAATACTAATTCAGGTTAATATCACAAATAAAGAGGGTCCAAACCGATTGACACGGTCCCAAAAGTTAGAGTTAAAGCAAGAAAAAACGATGCCAAGGCCTAAACTTACCGAGGCTGAAAAAGCCAAAGCCACAGAGCATAGATGGGAATACCTTAAGCATTACACACAAACGGAAAAACTCAAGGATTCCGTTCACAAACACAAGCATGAAGCCCGTCCTTCACAAAAGTACGAAAGTGGTTTAGAGAATTGAACTCTACCGAAGAGCGAATGGTGACTCTCCGAACCCCTTTCATGCAAATACGAGAACTGATTGTTGATCACCAGTTAGGGATAAAAGGATCCATTGTCAACATACCCAATAACTTGCACAAGACCGTAGACTGTCTTCCACGCAATATAAATGATTCATTCACTATTCATGAAAATTTGAAAAAAAGCCTAGCTTTCAAATCATATTTCATGTATGAACTTGAGAATCCGAAACGGGTGTATGATGCAGCTTACCATCTCCATTAAAAAGCACTGTACCAATCCGAAAAGGTTGATATTGATTTCTATTGGCTGTTCAATGCCTATACAGTCATCAAAATAATTTACACATAATGTGTCTGAGCTGCATTTAAATGTGTCTGCGAAATTGTGTACCGAGCAGTTCAGGATTAAGAGTTAAAGATGTCCAAGATGAAAACACAGTCAAGTTTCTTTTCCAAACAAAAGACAGCAGCCATTTTGCCAATGGGATTGCCTTGCGGCGACCAATTTTTTTTTTCATTTTATAGAAGGTGTTTTCATCATTTATTTATTTTTTATTTTTTTGTTTGTGGTGGAATTGGATTCTTGACCCAGAAAATCTGGTGAAATTCCTCACTAATCTATAAAGTTTTAATTTTTCCCCATCGGGCCCCTCAGCTCCAAAGTAAATTAAAAAACGCTAGATTGTTGATCAGCTCGGGAAAAAGATCCCATTTTTGCTACCAACGTAAAATTAAATGGTATGTTACAAAAGAAAATGTTAATGAACCTAAAGAATGTACAGAAATAAAATAATTTTTCCTATTAACTTGTTTTTAGATAAGCGAGCTTTCCAATTATGTCAAAAAAAATTTCGATTCTCGTAAATAAATCCAGGGAACTGATGAAAAACTCAAAATTTGAAATAAACTAAAATTTCGACAGCTCTTGGTTATTTTGAAGATCAAAAATCTAAACATAGCCAAAAAATCATGCTAATTCTGAAAGTTTCGTTTTTGCCTCTGCTCTGATTTCGCTACAGCAAAAAAAAATACCCTCTGCTAAAATGAATAAGCATGTTTGAGTTCGATCACACGCTGTTAGAATTTTCATTCTGAAGTTACTGTAAAATAACTGGCAGCAGTCTCTCCATCCCATTAACTATAAAGTTTATGGCCAGGAACTTACCCTTACATTTACGGGTTTCAAACCGTTTATAACTGGTACGGTTAAAAAACCGTGAATACAAAACAATACAGTTTTGTAACCATCCATTACTAACATAGTTTCTTAACCATAAAAACAAAACTTAAACAGTCATTGGAGCTCTGTTGGTGCTGCGCCATTTATGTGTGAATTATATAGTTTCGTATAACAGTCTAGGGTCACCGATTGAAGAGTTCAGGATACTAGAAACTCTTCGCGTATTGAAGAAATGTAAGAAATATTGTGGTATCAAGGCTATGATTCGAACCCCTGTGCAGCCGATCATAAGATTGACTCATTAACCCTCTCAGCTATGGTATGCACTCAGCTGTACGGAACAAAATGGCTTCATAAGGTTACACGGATAGAATTCTGGTTGTTAACCAGTATAAGATAAAAACAATCAATAAACTTTTTTTTCTCACACTTAATAGTTTGAATATAATCGTTGCTTGACTATTTTGGTAGCTGGTTAAATAACAATTAAATAAATTGCTATTTAAACATTTTTACCTAGAAATTTCGGACAGTGCATAGTAATTATCTCATAACATAATTATCCAATCATTTGGTCAAGTGTTATCCATGTGTTCCGTTTTGTATTATCTGTATCAACTAAACATTCAACAACAAAAAACATTTGTATCAACTAAAACCTGAGTTTTGTATTATCCGTTGTGTATTATCTTCGTGTATCAATGAACGCATTTAGAGTTTTATATTATTTTTTACTAGCTGAATACCCGTGCTTAGTACAGGGTGGAAAAAAGGGCATCAATTAATTAGTACTGAAAAACACTGCAAAATCGTGCACAAAATTTTCAGAAAAATACCGACACAAGTAATACAGTTAAAAGGATTCCAATGTTTTTTATTTATTATAATTTGTTAACATTTTCAGTTGCTTTGCATTATTAGATTAAGAAAAGCACAATACTGTTTTTCAAGGCAACTCATGATATTGAAAATATATCACAGTCAACATATTTTCTCCCGTACTTATATCATCTAGGGACCGTAAGACATTTCGTATAAAAATGCACAGTATTGGTGTCAATAATATTATGACGACTTTTTTCGGTGTCCCGTAAGCGTATTGATAAAACATACCGTAGATTATAAAAGGGTTGGCGAAACTTTCAATTGGCGTTAAACGAACGTTCTCGCAAATCGCCAAACAGCTGTGTGCTTATGTTTTTGTTTTGTTTTTTGGTATCTATCATTCACCAAGTTACATATGGGTGTGACATTTCAGAGTTTTAAATAAGCTGATCTACATTAGATTCTTCTGCATTAAATGAAATATAAAGCGTATTTTTTTGTTATAGCTCCGACATAATCGTTTGTATCTGTTGACATAATTGTGTTTATTAGCGATTTTTAGAAGGTCGTAATAAAACTAAGATAAAAAAAATTATATATTATTACCTCCATAGCCCCCTTCTGTATTTTCATAACTTTCATTAAATGTATACGCGTATTTCGAGTAGTGAACTTCTTTACCTACTCATCCACTTATTAAAATTAATAATTTCACAATAACCTCTAATCCTTAATAATGAAATGATTATTACAATAAAGTTTGTTTACTTAAAAGATTAAAAAAAAATTATTGTTCAGCAGTGACTTTGTTACTAATTCTATATTCATTAATTAAACTTAATGGTTCTGCTCGATAACCATTTACAATTTTTTT